TAGCTGGTGGGTTTGAACGCCTGAGACACTGCGCCACCAGAGTGCCTAATGTGGACTCAAACATACCAATGATCATGAATGGCGCAGTGCTGGCAAGAGTGCATTCTGCTGTATGTGGGGTTACCACGAGTCAGAATGAACTCAATGGCAGCTAACAACAACACCCAAACCAAACACCCATTGCTGTCTAGTAGATTCCAACTCACAACAACTCTACCGGACAGTGCAGAACTGCTCCACCGGCCGCCAAGGCTGTAACCCTTCATGGAAGCAGACTGCCTCATCCTTCTCCCACAGAGCGGCTGATGGGTCCAAAGTGCCACCCAATGCTTTAACCACAGCGCCACCAGAACTTCTTAGCAACCCCATTAAAAAAAAAAAAAAACACTGCCATCAAGTCAATTCCGAGACATAATGATCCCATGGGGCAGGGTAAAACTACCCCATAGGGTTTCCAAGGCTGTAAATCTTTATAGAAGCTGATGCTGCATCTCTCTCCCATGGAGCAGCTGGTGGGTTCAAACCACTGACCTTACAGTCAGCAGTCCAGCACTAACCACTGGGCCACCAGTCCTTATCACTGCCTACACCATTCCTGCAGCAAGAGACAGGAACACAGGCAGCATGCAGGTGGTCCTCCCCAGCCAGGGAGCCACGGGGGCTCCAGGAGGCTCCAGTCAGTGGATGGTGGAAGGGACGGCTCACAACTCTGTATCCCAACACAGGCAAAGGGACAGCCTCATGTCACTTCCGGTTGTCCCAGATCTAAAGAAGACGTCCTCGGGCCCCTGGGCAGGGAGGGGCTTCCTAGCACACAGGTGTCCCCAGTCCAGCCCCTACCCACCTTCTTCATGAGCATGTAGATGTGGGTCTGTGCAGCATCCAGCACATAGCGGTGGGGATGCCTCAGCCCTTTGACCGTGATGTCCATGGTCTTGCCGTCTATGTTTATCCATCGCCTCGCCCCTGGGGCCAGGAATAGCCTGGAGTGGGAGCAACAAGTTAGCAAGGGTGGCTGAACCCAAGTCGGTTAATGAAAAGTTATCAGCTGCTTGGAATGGTGGGATTGATGCAGCACAGGTTACCCAGGGTGGGGATCCTTTTTAGAAGACACTAAACGTTTAGCAAACAGTTAACATCCTTGGCTGCTACCCAAAAGGTTCAAGGTTCAAGTGCACCCAATGGCGCCTCAAAAGAAGGGCCTGATGATCTACTTCTGAACAATCAGCCCTTGACAATCGCACGGAGCGCAGTTCTGGTCCGACACCCACAGGGGCGCTGTGAGTCTGAGTTGACTCGACAGCAGCTGCTGCTGGTGGAGAATTTTTAACAAGTTGTCCAATAGCTTTTCCTAAACACAAGAGAACAGCCGTACTAGAATTGGGAACGTGAGATGTGAAGGCAGTAGGTTCCTTGCAGCAGACTTTAGGAATTAGGAGCTGTGTACGTGTCTTTGTGTGCAAGACTGTCGGGCATCTGTTCCTCTGGTGAAGGACACCACGGGAGCTTCCTGGGCCCACAGAGTCCCCGTACCCCGTTTCCCTTGGTGTGCAGAGCCCCAATTTTGTAAGAGAGCACGGGAGGCTCTAAGCATGAGGGCAAGTGAGAACACAGACTCTGCCTTCAGTGCCGTGAGCTCCTCCCAGTGAACTGGAATGGTCCAGCCCGGATCCATTGAAAGGAAGGACACCAACAGTCCAAAAGAGCATCGTACTTCTCACCACCGTTCTTTAGAGGAACCCCCAAACCTTTGCCAAACAATGCTGAG